CGGCTTTCCTGATTAACAAGGAAGCAGTCTCCATGCTCCCTCGTCACCAGGTGATGAGGGAGCATGGAGCCAGCTTTCTGGTCAATCAGGAAGCCGGGGTGCGTGTAATGACTCACTGACTGGCTTCCTGATACTGGAAGTTCTGGTATTGGGAATAGAATTGGAGCATTTGGGCGAGTATGAGTACTCACCCAAATACTCGGTATCGGCACCGATACTAGTATCGGTGCATCTCTACCAATAGAAGTTCCTCACTGTCCTCAAAAGAGCCCTGTAGAATTTGTTCTCCCCATGTTGGACAACTCGTCTATTGACAGGTTGTTTTGTTTCCCCAATGTAAAGGTCTGCGCATGCCTCATTACATTGTATACACTAGGTTAGTTCCTTTTGTATTTGGGCGTTGGGTCTTCTGGATGTACAAGCTTCTGTCTCCATGTATTGCTGGGCTTTAAAGGGATGCAATGCTTGTTAAAGATCCTCTTGAAGTTTTCCAAACCTCCAGCTACATGGGGGATGACTGTAATACTCCTAGACCTGAAGTGGCTTGGAGAAGCTATGAAACATCATCTACATTACAGAACAAGTCCACCTGAATGTGACCAACTACTGCTAGCTAGACCATGACCTGGATAAATAAGAACCATCACAGACAGCAATTGTAACTTTTCTGACCAGTTAAATGTTAAAATGTGACTGGCACTCTTTAAAAAAAAATAATAATAAAATCAGTGTTAGTGGTTTCACAAGATTGTATAGACTCTCTGACGTGCAGAGTCAAGGAAACCCCAATGAATGTGCACTCGTGTTTACAGTATGTTTTTAAAAAAAATAAAATGGCATATGCTAGATTATGTCTTCAGGGAGTTCATTTCAAACCTGCTGCTTTTATCCCTTTACATTTTCCTTTTCCAAGTTGATTTGGGGAAAATATCCAACAGCTAAATGACTCTGTCTATCCAAACATTCTATAAACTGTAGACCTTCGTAGGTGGACTACAATGGCTTACACAGGAAGAACAGATCACCTCAGATTATATATATATAT